TTTTTTTTTTTTTTGATGGAGTCTCACTTTGTCACCCAGGCTGGAGTGCAGTAGCACAATCTCAGCTCACTGCAACATCCGCCTCCCAAGTTCAAGCAATTCTCCTGCCTCAGCCTCCCAAGTAGCTGGGATTATAGGCATGCACTGCCACACCAGGCTAATTTTTGTATTTTTAGTAGAGACTGGGTTTCACTATGTTGGCCAGGCTGGTCTTGAACTCCTGACCTAAAGTGACCCGCCTGCCTGGGCCTCCCAAAGTGCTGGGATTACAGGCATGAGCTCCTACACCCGCCTTCTCCACGCATTTCTGGCAGCAGGATTTAGGCTTCTCTTTGCCCACTGATGCAAATTGTGGGCAAATGTCTGTGATCCCAGATGCCATCTTCCAGCCTGAGCCAGGCCCTCTCTATCCATTTGCTTGTATGTAAGGGCTGTGGCTCCTGGAGTTCTTTGGCCATGATGTTCCCTCCCTTGCCTTCAGCTGCCCTCAGTGACATTGCCTGTTAGACCACCATTAATGTGACAAACATCTTATCAATCCTATGCCCAGCCAGGCTGCATGCTGGGCACCCAAGGGCACTGCTGACCCCGACAAGGCATCAAATGCAGGGCCCTGCTGGTGCTGACCCTCCCCCTTGGTCTCAGCAAGGGTTTACTCCCAGAATGAAAGAGTGGATGAGCCCAATTTGCGAGCCAGCCTCTTACTCCCTCCCCATCCGGCTGCTTGGGTCACGGGCATGGGCTTTACCTTGAACCGGACCATGTAGAGCGCATCTGTCAGACGATTCATGCTGGGGTGCTCGTCTCCTGTCTGTCAGGGAGAGGGTAGTGTGAGCCCAGCACCCACTATGCTCCAGAACTAGGGGCAGTGCCAGGCCTCCCATGCCCCTCCTGGCCCTAGCAAACCACCACTCACCTCTAAGAAAACGCCAACCACAGCCAGGCCATCAGGTGCCGAGGCCGCCTCCCCAAAAGTACTGTACTTCTTGGCATTCCAGTGAACCAGATGCAGCTATGGGGCAACAACAGGCCAATGCTTCGTGCCTCCCAGGGACACGGGGATCTCTGAGCCAGGCTCCCCTCACTCCCAGCATATTCCTGGCCTATTTGCAGGAGGGGAAGCTATCAAGTCTTCCAGGATTGGGATGCTGGGGGGCCCAGGGGAGCCCCAGAGGGTCGCAGGTAGCATCCATCCAACTCTGGTCCCAATTCTTTTCAGAGCTCCAGGACCCAAAGAGGAATGTGGCCCAGACCCTGCCTTGCAGGGAACGAGCTGTGAAATTGATCATGAATATCTAGCATGATACCTCCTTGAGTCCAGAGAATAAATGGGGTTATCACAGGGAAGCCTTGGAGAAATGCATTCCAGGCAGAGAGAATAGCACAGGCAAAAGCTTGGTGGTATGAAGGAGACAGGTGTGGACAGGGGATTCATCACATGCAGCTCAGTGTATGAAGAGGTGAGGGGAAAGACGAGGCCAGGCAAGATCAGTTCATGCACAGCCTTGAATACCAGGCTCAACCCTTGAAGGGCTGTCAGCAAGGCTGCAGTGGGACTGGATAGCCCTTCAGAAAACTCCAGGATACACAGACCAGGAAGTATAGCAGTGAGCAGGGTTCAGATGGAAAACACTGCACTGGGAGTGGGCAGACGGTATCTCTTCCAAGGGTCCTGGGTGCTCCTTTTCCCCCTCTCCAACGCCCCACCCCAGGCATCCTCAAGCCCTGTCTACCCAGGCCTAGGTTATAGGCGTTCCGTCCTATATAGCAGAGGGATTCAAGTAGAGGAGGGCCCGTACCTCGCTGGGGAAGGACTTGCCATCCACCGTGTGCTCAGAACCCACATCATGCTTCTTGCCCCAGTGGAAGTGAAACTGCTTGAGGCGGTAGGGCCCTTCCAGGGGGCCCCCAGTCACCACTGTGGGTAGAAGTAGGGCAAGTGGCAATCAGCAGGATACGACCGACAGCCCAATGCCAGGACCAGGGCAGCAGCCCAGGAAAGGGACACTTTTTTTTTTTTTTTTTTGAGTCAGGGTCTCGCTCTGTCACCCAGGCTGGAGTGCCATGGTGCAAACATAGTTTATTATAGCCTTGACCTCCTGGCCTCAAGCCTCCCAAGTAGCTGGGATTACAGGTACCTGCCACATCTGGCTAATTTTTTGTATTTTTAGTAGAAACGGGGTTTTATCATGTTGGCCAGGCTGGTCTCAATCTCCTGACCTCAAGAGATCTGCCTGTCTTGGCCACCCAAAGTGTGGGATACATTTTCATTTGGAAAATTCACTGGGCTGACTGGTCTTGGGTTGGTCCCCACCACCTCCCTGACCCCCATCCCTTGAGCTGGGCCAGGGCAGAAATCCTGACAGCCCGCAGGTGGCAGAGGGGTCTGGGACTGACAAAGGATAGCTCTTTATCTAGCTGTCCTCCCCACCCCTGCCTGATTTTCCACAGAGGGTAGGACCCTGCCTCACAGGACCCCCATTACCACTAACAATTAGGCCTCCCATGTCTGGAACTCTGATCCGGAGTTAGGTTGAAAAGACTATTTTGTTTAGTCTGCATAGTAGCCCATGAAGGACAGAACTTATTATTATCCATATTTTATAAAGGGGGAAGCTGAGGCACAGAGACAGCAAGGCATCTGCCTAAGGTCACACACCAAGGCACTGAACTAGGGTATGAACTTGTAACTCTTATGTCCAAAGCCCAAGCCACTAATCATCAGCTAACACAGCCTCCCTAGAACCTTGAGCCTTCTTTAAACTTGGTATTTTTCCAGAGGTGGAGGGTAGCTCCCGAGGGTCTCTACCTTCCTGGACAGGCCCAGCTGCCTCCAGTGCCATCTCCCCCAGAGATGGCCTCTTCTAAGGGCCCTACTTGTGCTGGTTTTGTGACTTTCTTCCTTTGATACCTGGTGAGCTGGGGCCATGAACAAGGCCTCCTGGGACTGATAGAATTTCCAGCTGAAAGGGATCTGGAGGTGGGGGGAGCCCCAGCTAAGCTTGAATGTGAGCTCCTGGATCAGATGACACCCCAGGCTCTGAGTTCCACTAGGCCCCTCCATGATGGGTGACCAGGGTAGGGCTTTGGCCCTGTGGGCTCCTCAAGGAGGAGGACAGGACAGTCCGGAAGTCCCTCCTTGATGCCTGATCTTACTAAAGAAGCAAGACCTGTCCTGGGCACTAGTTAGGAGTCTGGGGGTGGTGGCTGCGGGTGGGGCCCCAGTCAGACTGCCCCAACCCTGGAAGCAGGGGCAGCTGAGCCTGCAGGCTGAGCAATCGGATAGGTCTGCAGATGCCACCTTCCAAGCATGCTTCGCCTGGGACCCCATGGTGTGGGCTCCTGGAGAGGGAGCTCCCTCCCTAACTCCTTGACCTTGGATCCATTAGCCTCCTCCCCCAGTTCACACGCAAGATGTGCTGCCATTCATAGGCACTCATTGTGTGTTTGGCACTCTGCTGACATCAACCCATCTGACCTCCAGAGTGACCCACAGTGGGTGAGTGTCACCATCTTATTCCTCTTTTCATTGGCTCCTTGCGCCCTCAGGCCTGGCCATGCTGGGCGGGGGAGGGAGCCCCAGCCAGGCCTGAAGGTGAGATCCCAGATCAGTGATCCAAAGGCATGTACCCCTGCATCTTCTCCCACCCCAGTGGCCTTCATTGAGCTAATGATATCTGAGTTAAGCCCCCAGTGCCTTCTGAAGGCTATTCGAAGGGATCGTCATATGAAAACTGTTCCTCGTTAAACTATCATCTAGGGTCAGGTGGAGCCCATGTCCCCTTCCCGAAGCTTGAGTAGGAGCCTTTTCTTAGAATTCAGTACCAGGAAATAAATCCTTTGTCTCTCTCCTGAGGATCTGCCTGACTCCCTTTCTTTCGCAGCAAGAACTATAACCAATCCTCTTTCTCTTTTTTCCTAGCCTACAAAGGAACTCAGAACTAAGTAAGATCACTTGTCTCATGAAAGGTCTGACTTCCTCCATCTTCTTTGCCTTTTAATTTTCTTTTCTTTTTTTTTTTTTTTTTAGACGGAGTTTCGCTTTTGTTGCCCAGGCTGGAGTGCAATGGCGCGATCTCGGCTCACCGCAACCTCCGCCTCCTGGGTTCAGGCAATTCTCCTGCCTCAGCCTCCTGAGTAGCTGGGATTACAGGCACGCACCACCATGCCCAGCTGATTTTTTGTATTTTTAGTAGAGACGGGGTTTCACCATTTTGACCAGGATGGTCTCGATCTCTTGACCTCGTGATCCACCCACCTCGGCCTCCCAAAGTGCTGGGATTACAGGCGTGAGCCACCGCGCCCGGCCACCTTTTAATTTTCTATTTGAAACTGAAGTTCCTTTGAGTGCTTTTATTGTATTTGTGGGTAGGGGAGAGGGAGGGAGAAGGAACCAATTATTAATACTTCCTTACACAAGAAACTCTAGCAGGTTCCTTCCTCGCCCCATTCCACCATCCTTCCCACCACAGGCCCAGTCATAAGGATGGAAATCCCTTCACTGAACAGCACTCCTGAGGCCTCTGCCTAGGAATTTCTCATGAAAGTACCTGGACTCTAGGGCAAGAGGCCTTGGAAGGAGTTGCCACGGGTTCCCACTGGCCTCTCTCTGGCCCAAGATGGTTGGACCTTGAAGTCGTAGGTGAACTGGAGAGAGAGAGAGACTTTTGGGCTGGACCACGCTGCTTCTGACACTCCCCAGCTCATCAAGCCTCTATCTGCCAATCTGAGTGATGGGTTCTCTAGAAGAATAAATGAGCGGTTTGTGACCTTAGCAAGGGGCTTGGCACACAGAAATGTTAGCTTCCTTCTCTCCCTGCTGGGCTTGGCCAAATCACACAGGGAGGAGGGCTTGGCAGGTCAGTGATGGGGCAGGGAGTGAAAACAAGCCTGATCTGTAGGAATATATGGAAGGGAAAAAAGGGACGGAAAGAAATTAGCATTTTTTGAGCATCTGCTATATGCCAGCTCTATCAATCTCTCTTGGTTTTTTCATTTTTCCCCTCTATGACCTAAGAGGGTAAGTCTTATTGCTCACATTTTGTGCATAAGGAGACTGAGGCTCAGCCCAAGACTTCACAGCTGGTGAGAGGTGGAGCCTTCCTTGCCCACCATAGCATGCTTCCCGAGACCCCCCCAACACAAGGTTAGGATCCTAAGGGGCCAGGTGCCAGGTTTTGACAGGGGCCACTTACCGGTTCGGTCATCGCTGTCATTGAAGTCTACCTGGACAGAGTGGCCATTGTTGGTGATACTGAGGGACATGCAGGCCTCATAGGAAAGCTCCAGTGGCTGGAGGCTGGGCGAGTACACAGCCTGGCTGGAGATGATATTGATGGGTGATTGGCGGTCTCCCTGGGCAATGGGATACAGCTTGTGCCAATGCGAGGGACCTGCAGGTAGAGGGGAGGGCAAGGACTCAGGCCAGCCAGGATCTCTGGGCTTCAGGCTGAGGACACCGATGGAGGATGGTCTCTTTGGCCTCCTTTCAGAGGTGAGCCCTTGCGTTGGAGCTGCATGGCCTGGAGTTCCAATCCCAGCTCTGCCATTTTCCCTGACTCCATTTCTTTGTCTGTGAAATGGCCTCACTAAAACTCACCCTCCAGTGCTGATAGGAGGCCCAGAGAGGTACTGTATGGAAGGTAACATAATACAGCTACAGGTTCAGGGGTGGCTCAGAGTAATGAGTCAACCCTCAACCCCCAACAGAGAGACCTCCAGGCATCTGAAGTCTCTGACCTGACCCCATCAGTATCTCACCTCTTTCTGCACCTTGGTCAATTTGGTGCTGGTGTTTGTGATAATAGAAACAAAAACTCACATCAACCTAGCTTTGACTCTGTGTGACATGTATTTGCTTCTCACAACCACCTGTGAAATAGAAACCAGCAAGATCCCCATTTCACAAATGAGGGAACTGAGGGCAGCTCACACATGTGTGCATGCACATGTACTAATATAAATATGCAACATATACCTCTACTGCCCCCAGCTGCCCTCCCCACGTGTGTGCCTACGAGTCCATAGAGATCTTCCTATGAACACATTCATCTTTCTATGATCTTCCATTGTGCACACATGTGCACAATGGCCTGGGCTCTGTAGGTTCAGAGCAGCCAGGCCCAGAACATGCATGTGTACAAACACACAGCCCTGCAGACTACATCTGACACACGCATATGCTCTCTCACACACAAACCCCTCAGTTGGAGACTCAAGTTTGCATAAAGGGACCACAGCAAAACACATGCCCATGCACACACACACACACACACACACACACCTGCATACACACCCACAGGCGCCCACCACCTGCCTCCCAGAGGATCCATCTGCAGCCGAGAGGCTCAGCATCTCCCTGGGGAACATCCTGAGATGCAGCCTATTTTTAGAGCTACTGCCGGCTGGTGCTTCTCCCCCTTTTTGGCTTCTTAAGTTTTCCTGAGAAAACAGCAGCAGGTGCCGACAGAGCCGTGTCCCCAATGGATGACTCAGAATCGTGGCCCGGCCCCTCTGGGTTATTTTTGAAGCCCTGTGAGCAGTGCCGCATGCCGGCACCTCTGTCCCCTGTTGTTCCCTTCCAGGACTGGACAACCCAGCTCTGCCTGGGTGATGGGGCGGCTGCCTGGGGGAGCAGGCCCATGGGGCAGGCTACACAGGACACTGGGTGCTCAAAGCTGGTGGGCAGGACTAGCAAGAAGGGCTGGAGGCAGGGGACTCTGGCTCTGGGGGAAGCACCCAAAAGCGGGCTCAGAGCAGGTACTGGGAGATGATCTCTATGGGTCCCGTCCATCTGCCCCTTCTCTATCTGTCCCTCCCACTCTGCTTGTCTGTATCATCTTTTTCTGAATATCTCTTTCCAGTTCTTGCATGCCCAGATATGGGGGTTCTCTTCCAAAATATGCTCCTTTGTTCTTGGGGTCCCAGGGGAAGCCAGAGACTAAACAGCACCCTCCCTCTGGTCTACTGCAACTTTCTGGCTTCCCAGACTGTAGGCCCCCATCCACCCTCACGAAGTGATACCTCTCCGCAGAGGAGTGGGGCTGGGGGTTGTTCCTCCCACCATTACTTTCTCTTCTGCGCACCCCACCTGTCCTGCACTGGTTCCCCAGGGAAATAGGGAAGCCCCACACACCCACCCGTGATCGGTAAGAAATGGCCCCCAAAGGGAACTGACTGCCCCAGACCCACGCTCCAGCCCTCTGGCTCTCACCTTCTGCCTCTTCTCCCTTTCTCTGCATCCTAAGGAAACTGAGGCAGGATAGAGGAGCTGTCTTCCGTGTCAGCCCAGGAGGCTGGTGTGGGCCACGGGCTCCCACGACTCACACCCGGACGTGCGCAAACACCCGCTCGGTGTAGACACCCAGACACATGCTTGCGCCCCCATGTGTCCCTTCCCTCAGGTACCAGCCAAGAAGGCAGCTCGGCCACTTCCGCGGGGAAACTCTCTCCAGGGGACACTGCGCCCTTGCCACGAGAGCCCCGATCCCCCTAGGTCCCCGCACACCCGCCGTGCGCGCTCCCCGCACAGACACCCGCGCACAGCGCTCCGCCGCTCCCGCTCCCCGCAGCCCTGGGCCACCCCCACGCGCTGCGCACGCCCCGGACGAGTGAGTGAGAGTCTCGGCCTGGGTCCGAGCGGGCTGGGCAGTCAGGGTCTTCGCAGAGGAGGCGGCAGGACTCAGCCGGCCTGGCAGCTAGCTGGCGGCGGGACCACCTGGGCTGCAGGGCGGACTTTGCGCCTGGCGCTGGGGACCAAGGCTTGGACCGAATTAGGGGACCAGGATGGGAGAGGGGTCCCGGCCCAGCCTGGAGGGTAGGAGCTTGCGGGTCCGGGAAACCGGCTTGGGCACGAGGGTTGGGGGCTAGTGTAGTTGGGTCGGGGTCCGAGCCGGGGGTGGTGGGGGAGGTCGGCGCCTACCGTCGTCCTGGCCGTAGCCCCAGCAGTGGTGGCCGGTCATGCCGCTGCTGTCCCCGCAACCGTGCACCTGCCGGGTCGGCTCGGTCCGCTTGTTCGGGCTGCGGCTCCAGCCCCGCTCGCTACCGCGGAGCAGCCTCTTAAAGCAGCGGCGGGCGGGAGGAGCAGTTCCCGGGGGACCCGCCCCCCACCCCCCAGCAGGGCCAGAGAGGCCGGCCTGCCCCGCCCTCACCCTCCGGCAAGCCCGTTGAACCCCGAGCAGAGATGTAGGGCTGGAGGAAGTAACCCTCTCCCCTTGACTCCCACCCCTGTCCTGGCTGGATGACTCTCCCTCTTTTCCCCCAGCAACCTGTGCCCACTCTGGGACACTAGATACCGGTGCCGCACATGGCATCCCTTCCCCAGGCTTGTCCCAGACTGCAAATGCCACTGCCAGGAACCTGAGCTCTGGGTCCTGAATCCTTTGGGGTCGGAAAGTCCCCTATAAACTGCAAACTACACCGACCATCAGGTGTCCAGAATTGGAGCTTCCCCTGTTTACCAGAGGCTGTTGCAGGTGCTGGGCCAAGCTTTGGGTCCTTCCTACGGTATAACCCTCTCTGTTACCCTACAAGGTTGGGTGCTTCCATTAGCCCTATCTGACAGAGGAGGGGACTGAGGCCCAGAGAAGTGAAGTGACTTGCCCAAGGTCATCTAGCCAGGGTGCAAGGGGTTCATTCCCTGGGGTTCTCACACCAGACACTGGGGGTTTTGTTTTTTCATTTGCTTATTTGTTTTTAGACAGTCTTGCTCTGTCTGTCACCCAGGCTGGTGCTATCTCAGCTCACTGCAACCTCCACCTCCTTGGTTTGAGTGATTCTTCTGCCTCAGCCTCCCAAGTAGCTGGGATTACAGGTGTGAACACCACACCCAGCTAATTTTTGTATTTTTTGTAGAGACGGGGTTTCACCATGTTGCCTAGACTGGTCTCAAACTTCTGGCATCAAGTAATCCACCTGCCTTGGCCTCCCAAATTGTAATCCTGGTTCAGGCCAGGATTACAGGTGTGAACCACCGTGCCTGGCCTGACCTTGGGGTCTTTACCATTTCTCCTTGGTGATGGGTACAAGGCTGTACTGTGAGTGTGGGGGTCTGGGCACCCTGGGGTAGATGCAGGGACAGGACTGGCATCACTCTCCCTAAGGGGGAGTGAGGAGGAGTGGCATCAACCAATGGGCATGAGGATGGGGAGACACCAGGTGGCTTGCCCATGGAACTTCCACCCTCCCTGTTATTTTCTCTGCTGCTTCCTCCTTTCTTCAGGGACTCTGCCTGTCCCTCCATAGCCTGCTATTTGTCCCGCCTCTTCTGACTTCCCCCTGAGCTTCAGTACACCCGCTGGGAGCTCAGGCCCTCCACCCTGCGCTCGACCCCGGTGCCTGCCTTGGTCCAGCATTTTTCCATGCACAACCCTGGTCCTTGTTGTGCCCTCCACCTGATGCGCCCTCTTCCACCCACTGGTTCCAGTCGGCCCAATCTGATTCATTTTAGCATGTGGCCTTGTGCCAGGGATAGGGCTTGTCTCTGACTAGTCCTCAGCAGGCAGTTTTGGAAAGACAAACAGATAGGTGGATGGAAGGACAGACAAATGATCCCACCCAGAGCCCTGTACTCAGCAGGAGTTGAACAGCCACTAGTACAATGTCTGCTGCCCAGATCTTGAATAGAGACACTCTTTCCAGCCCTGCTTTTGGCTGACCTTGTGAAGGAATCTGCCATCTTGTCTGCCTGGTTCCCCTACATCTCTGTGTCTGTCTCGGTTTCTCTCTCCCGGGCCTTGAACCCCAGATCCTCAGATGGAACTATGGAGATTAATTGACAACTGGGTGGCTGGGCTGATGTCAGTGACTGTCCAGGCCTGCAAAGATGCCCCTCTCTGATCCAGAAGCAGGAAATCTGACCCTAGGGTGGGGCAGGGGACTTATGACAGAGATGCAGGCGGTAGCCCCCAAGACCAGATGTGACAGAGAATACAACATTGTCAAGGCCCCAGGTCTTGAAGCCAGAAATGGCATCTACAGATCAAGAATACAAAAGCATGCTTCTGGGTGAGGCCTGGACTTTCTGTCTCCCAGAGAAGCCAGCCACTCTTTACCTGGGAGAGCTGCAACACCCTTTACCTGGGAGAGAGAGCTGTGGGGATGGCCCAAACTCCATTGACCCACTTCCTCTTCACAGGGACTCAGGTCTTGTCCATATTTATTTGTAGTTCTTAAAAAATACAATTGGGCCAGGCATGGTGGCTCACACCTGTAATCCCAGAACTTTGGGAGGCTGAGGTGGGAGGATTATCTGAGCTCAGGAGTTCAAGACCACCCTAGGCAACATGGTGAAACCCATCTCTACTAAAATACAAAAAATTAGTGGGGTATGGTGGCACGCATCTGTAGTCCCAGATACTCGGGAGGCTGAGGCATGAGAATTGCCTCAGCCCAGGAGGTGGAGGTTGCAGTGAGCCAAGATTGCACCACTGTGCTCCAGCTTGGGCTATAGAATGAGACTCTGTCTCAAAAGGAAAAGAAACAATTGGAATTCTTCATATAGTTTTGCATCCAGCTTCATCTACATAGTAACCCTGGAGGGATTTTTACCCCATTTTACAGAAGAGAAAAGCAAGGCTCAGAGAAGATGAGTGACGGGCTGGAAGATGCACAGTGAGTGACGGAACAAAGATGAAAGCCCAGGGCTGCTGGGCTCCTCATTCAATACTGTCCAAAATCACTGGAAAGGGAGGAAGTGGATTTTAAATTTGACTCTCATTTGTGTGTATATGCAAGTCCTCTCCAAAAGGACTTTAGAAAAGCTAGGGAGAGTGTTTACCTACAGGGAGGAGACTGGGTGCCGGCAGGTTGTGGGAGGGTGTGGTGTATGGGGTGGGAAGGACACTCTACTGGGATTCCTTTGTATCTCTTGAATGAATTAAAGCATGTATTACCTCTTTAACAACCACATAAAATTTGATCCAGTTCTCTCCTTCCTGCAGCCTGTCTTCAGCATTTTCTCTGGGTACTGGGAACTCAGGCAGGTGAGAGAAGTCAGTGGAGACTGCCCTTCTGAGGCTAAGCACCAGTTGCCCCAGCAGCTTACTCAGGTCAACTTGGGGGAGCCTGTGCCCCCATTCAGATGCCTCCAGTCTCAATTACATGCTGTCTTTAAAGCCGAGTTGATTTCTCTGCTTGAGAGTTTTCTCTTTGGTCTCACTGGTGTCAGTGGCTCCTGGTTTTTGCTATTTATACGGGAGGGGAAAATGGGAGATGTGAGGCCTGTGATGGAGGCCTGGGGGAGGAGGGCATGAGCAGGTTGTAAAGCCAAGCCTCATTCATCAAACGACCTTGGCCTCCAGCTTCTGCTTCCTTTTTTCTTTTTCCTTTTAAAGATTATATAGAGACAGGGGTCTCACTATGCTGCCCAGGCTGGTCTCAAACTCCTGGTCTCAAGGATCCTCCTGTCTCAGTCTCCCAAAGTGCTAGGATTACAGATGTGAGCCACCCTGCCCAGCCTTGTTGGGTATATTTAAAACTCCAAACATTTCTTTTCCAATTATAGTAGTGACATCTATTGTAGAAAATTTGGAAGAGTCAGAAAAACATATAAAAGAAAAGTAAAATCACTGGTGATGTCACTACTCAAGGATCACCACTGTTAACATTTTAGTAACCATCTTGCCAAGGTTTTCTTTTTTTATTTTAGTTTTATTTTTTCCATAAGTTATTGGGGTACAGGTTGTATTTGGTTACATGAGTGAGTTCTTTAGTGGTGATTTGCGAGATTTTGGTGCACACATCACCTGAGTAGTATACACTGCACCATATTTGTGGTCTTCTAACCCTCACCCTCCTTCCACTGTTTCCCCCAGGTCCCCACAGTCCACTGTATCTTTCTTATGCCTTTGCGTCCTCATAGCTTAGCTCTCACATATCAGTGTAGTGTTTGGTTTTCCATTCCTGAGTTACTTCACTTAGAATTAGAATAATAGTCTCCAATCTCATCCAGGTCACTGCAGATGCTGCTTATTCATTCCTTTTTATGGCTGAGTAGTATTACATTGTGTGTGTGTGTGTGTGTGTGTGTGCATATATATATATATAATCACAGTTTCTTTATCCACTTGTTGATTAATGGGCATTTGGGTTGATTCCACGATTTTGCAATTGTGAATTGTGCTGCTATAAACATGCCTGTGCAAGTATTTTTTTCATATGACTTATTTTTCTCTGGGTAGATACCTAGTAGTGGAATTGCTGGATCAAATGGTAGTTCTACTTTTAGCTCTTTAAGGAATCTCCACACTGCTTTCCATAGTGGCTGTACTAGTTTACATTCCCACCAGCAGTGTAGAAGTGCTCCCTGATCACCACAACCACGCCAACAACTACTGTTTTTTGATTTTTAAATTATGGCCAGGAGTATGGTGATATCAAATTGTGGTTTTGATTAGCATTTTCCTGATCATTGGTGATGTTGAGCATTTTTTCATATATGTGTTGGCCATTTGTATGTCTTCTTTTGAGAATTGTCTATTCATATCCTTAGCCCGCTTTTTGATTAGATTGTTTGCTTTTCTCTTA